GGGCTGGGGATTCGAACCCGCCACCTTAGGTGTACATGGCTGGTGCCTTAGCCGGTTGAGCTATAGGCGCCGAGCCAATATTTCTAATTTTTGTAGAGACGGAGTCTTGCTCTTGTTGAGGATGGTCTCAAACTACTGAGCTCGAGCAATCCACCTGCGTCAGCCTCCCACAGTGCTGGGATTATAGGCGTGAGCCACTGCACCCAGTGCTGTTAGGTCTGTCTATTCTTAGCCATTTTTGTATGGATAGCATCTTATTTTCTCTCATATTTTTCCGATTGCTTATGATGGTATTTAGGAAAGTAAATTTTGGTTTACTTATTCTATGTCTAGATAACTTAGTGAATTATCAGTTCTAAATGTTTTCAATTTTTTTTCTTGGCTCTTTGGTATCTTTAGGCAGATAGTTATTTCATCTTTAAGCAAAGATACTTATATTCTTTTATTTCCTGTATTTATACTTGTTTTCCAGTCTTTGTAGAAAGTAGAACCCTAGCTTATAGTAAATCATGAACCATCAGCTGTAATGGATATGCTCTGGGATTTTTTTATTTTTGCAGTGGATTTTTTTTTTATTTTTTTATTTTGGCTGGGGCTGGGTTTGAACCCACCACCTCCAGCATATAGGGCTGGTGCCCTACTCCTTTGAGCCACAGGAGGCGCCCTCTGCTCTGGGATTTTATTGTTAAGGTGGTATTTGCTTTTGGTTTTTCACTCTCCTCATAAATTAAAAAAAAAAAGTTTGTTTCAAATGGTTTGAAACCATTTTTGAAGTTAATTCTTTTAGCAAATGTATATTGAGCATCTAGTATATGCCAGGTACCAGTTATAAGCAAAACAGAATCCTTGTTTTGTACATTCTGGTGGGGGAGATAGAAGTAAGCAACAAAATACGTCAGGTGACGAGTAATACTGTGGGGAAAAAGAAAATAAGGTGAGGTAGATGGGAACCATCTACAGGAGGAGCAAAAAGATGTCCAAACCCGACTGCCTCAAAATGGTCAATTTTCCTTTTAATATTAGGCATTTTTTAGGACTCATGAAACTTAAGACTGTTTCATGGCAGGCGAGAAGGACAATTTGGGGAGGAAGGGGTTGATAGTGGTAGGCTGAGAGAAGAAAGTTGTGAGAGAAGCTCTGGAGCTGTTAGGGAGTGAGATTTGACTTGCCATAAATGGAGGTGAAATTCAGTTTTATCTAAGAGCCTGTAGCTGCTGTCCTCAGAAGCCTTTTTTTGTTTTTTGAAATGGACAGAGTCTCATTCTGTTGCACCAGGTAGAGTGCAGTGGCAGCATCATAATTCATTACAAACTCAAGCTCCTAGGCTCAAGCCATCTTCCTACCTCAGCCTCCCATGTAGCTGGGACTATAGGCATGCATTGTGATGCCTGACTAATTTTCCTATTTTTAGCAGAGAAAGGGTCTTTTTCAGGCTGGTCTCGAACTTTTTTTTTTTAATTGAGACAGTTTTACCTTGTTGCCCTCGGTAGAGTGCTGTGGCATCATAGCTCACAGCAACCTCAAACTCTTGGGCTCAAGCGATTATCTTGCCTCAGTCTCCTGGGTAACTGGGACTACAGGATCCTGCCACAATGCCCAGCTTTCTTTCTTTTTTTTTCTTTTTTTTTTTGAGATAGAGTCTCACTTTGTCACCCTTGGTAGAATACCATGGTGTCATAGCTCATAGCAACCTCAAACTCTTGGGCTGAAGCTATTCTCTTGTCTCAGCCTCCCAAGTAGCTGGGACTACAAGTGTCCACCACAATGCCCAGATAATTTTTTGTTTGTTTGTTTTTAGCAGGCCTGGGCTGGGTTCCAACCCACCAGCCGTGGTGCATATGGCCGGGACCCTAACCACTGAACTACGGGCACCCCTAGTTTTGAACTTCTGAACCCAAGCCATCCTCTCACCTTGGCCTCCCGGAGTGCTAGGATTATAGGCATGAGCTACTGTTCCTGGCCTTCTCAGAAGCCCTTAATGCTTGTTGTCGAAGCAGTAATTACTCCTAGAACAGCATGATTCAGCGTGTGGCTTGGATTATTGGCAGACTCTATTTTGGAGGACCCTTTGGACCTTATCATTGCCCAGTTAAAGGCTAGCTGTCCCTTTAGGAATAACTAGATTTGATGATGGGTGTGTTGGCTCATGCCTGTAATCCTAGCACTCTGGGAGGTAAGGTGGGTGGATTGCCTGAGCTCAGGAGCTCCAGACCAGCCTGAGCAAGAGACCCCATCTCAAAAAATAGCCGGGTATTGTGGTGGGTGCCTGCAGTCCCAGCTACTTCGGAGGCTGAGGCAAGAGTTTGATGTTGCTGTGAGCTATAACACCCTGGCACTCTACTGAGGGCAGCAAA